TGTCGGGGTGTGCGTGGGCACGTTTTTTTTTTTTTTTTTTTTTTTTTTTTTTTTTTTTTTGTGACCTGGGGTGTGACTGTCCCTGGGGATGGTTGACTAATATACAGTATTACCGTAATTTATTTCATCTCCCCCTAGACCAATCGAATTAGGAACATGAGTCTTTGGTGCATTAATGGGCTGCATGGGAATTTTAGTGTGACTTGGGGTGTGGCCGTCCCTAGGGGGTGGAGTGATTAGTGGTTTGTCAGGCAATGAAGCTGATTCCATAGATTGCACTTAAGTCAGATTCCTTGTAGATTGGACCGACCCAGCTAGTGTTATGTGTGAATCTGAAGGCGGTCTTCGAGTTAGGAAGGGGAAATGTAGAGAAAGCAGCAGACAGTACTTAATAACAGACCTTCAGTCGTATTCTTAAATATAGGTCAAGTTAATTAAAACCCATTCAAGACCCCATACTCTCAGAAATCCTAGGGTCCAAGTCCCATTGTTCTTAACATAAAACACACATGTTAATTGCTACTCTTGGGTAATTAACATTTTGTTTTGTGTTAAGACACAACAGCAGTTAAACGCTAGGATTCCTGATCGAGTGTGTGGGGCCTTGAATTACTTTTAAATTGGATTCCCTGACCTTATTTGTAGCCACGTTTCATGTTCCTAATATAAAAACGATGTAAAATTAGAATAGACCACCCCCAGGGTCGACCACACCCCAAGTCACAATTAAATTCCGAAGAACCTTTGCAAATCCCTGTAATAATAGGTAACAGGTTTATTAATCCCCGACGTATCAAGTTCCTAACTATGATGGTTTAGGAAGTAACAATGTGAAATAGATTATGCATGTATATAATAAATTGTCCACCCCAAGGAAAGCTTGACCAATGTAAGCGTACCTAGCCGAGACAACCCCGCCCTCATTCCAATTCTACCTCTATAGAAATTCACACTTTTTATTGACTAAGAAAAAATTCTGGTTTCAAAATGCGTTCCGGTTGAAAACTTCGTTTTCATGATTTTCTTTGGTTGCAAAATGCGTTGCAGTTGCAAAATGCGTTCATTTGCAAAATTGCGGCTCTATTTGTAAGCCCAGCGTGGGTAAAACGGAACACGGCGTAGGCCAGTGTGTGCGCGTATCAGCGGCGATGCACCTAAGGCTACATGGGTAGGTGCAGAATTGTAAAAAATTTTGCCCAGAGCGTGCGAAAAAAAATCATGCAAAAAAAAAAAAAAAAAAAAATATATATATATATATATATATATATATATATATATATATATATATATATGTAAATACCCATATATATGTTAAACCTGGGCGAATTAGCGTGCGAATATGGCAAGCCCGAAATTTAGCAGCCAGCGATAGGAAGTAATAGGGCCAATAGCATGCGGAGCGTCCATCCATGAGTGTGGCAAGTATCGTATATGTGGGCTGAATTGAAATATTTATAGTAGGGATGGCTGTCATCACGTAGCGAGCGAAATATGGACCCAGCTTGCAGTCAAGTTGCGTGCGAATACAATATGGTCCATGTAGAAATTGACAAACGTGCATCAAAATTCGCATATGGATGTAGGCGATCAAGATACTGTGCGTGCGAAGATAAAAGCAGTGATTGATACTGTGCGTGCAAAGATAAAAGCAGTTATTTGAACCTGGATCCGCATCGGCAAGCAGGTCCAAGTAGCGTGCGGATGTAGCGTGCGAATCTATTGCCAGCACCTTATTGTGCGAGACAAGTCATGTAGAATATGGAGCGTATGAAACAAAAAACCTGTCTTAGAGCCAGGTAGTAGGCTGCTTAGATAAGCAGACAACGTGTTGGGGAGAACAGCCAGCATATGCCATAAGGGTATACTGTTAGCTCTCCTTAATATAAATGAAACAGATCGTTAATTATATATGAAGCTAGTTAACCTTAATGATAGAGTTAGCGTTGGTCCCGGAGTGGCATTTCCCCATGCTGCAGTCACTATGAGCAGTGGAGAGATCGTGAAGTTAATGACAACAACGCGTACAACCATAGAACGGGCACGCGATATAGCACGGAGCTGCATTGAGAAATGGTGACAGCTACAAGTTTTAAGCGAGGGGGGTCGTCATTTCCGAGTTAATTGCATTTGTGAATGCAGCATGGGTGCGTGAAGGCCTAAAGCACAGAAGAATTACCTTAAGCGAGCCATGCATGGGCCAGTGCAAGCCTCTCGCCTGGTGTGGTAGGCGAAAAAACAATCGTATGGACGGCAATCTTATTGCATGGAAGGTACGAAAGCAGCGTGGTATAGCAATAGGGAGGTAAATGCAATGCTTACTGAGGTATTGCTCCTAGCAGCAGGATAAAGACCCCCGCACAGGAAGTCCAGTACAGATTAAAAATCAAGTTCGCCAACACATTCTTACAACAAGCTTTGCGAACCACCAATGTCAAATTTTGGAAAATGAAGGGTACCTATGACGCCGCATCTGCCATGGTGTGCATGGACGGCACACATTTTAACGCTTACGGCCATGCCAGGTTTTGGAAAAACCTCAAATCTGCTGCTAGCAATATGACTAATAGTAAGTAGCCTAGTATTTTCCTCCCATCCTAATATAACTGCATGGTTCTATAGGCTCATTCATAGCCGCATGATACTATTCCAAAAAAAACAATTGAAACTCATCCCATCCCAAAAAAATCAACGATGCAGCGGAATTAATCGGAGAAAAAGATTTTGGCACACCTAAGTCAATCACACTTATTATTGGATCAAATAACATTAGCGAGGGGCAACATCCGCAAACTGTTGTAGACGAAACAATGGCGCTCATAAACAACATTGAGCAGAAGTACCAAGAGACTCAAATTATCATCAGCAAAATCTTGCCACGATGGGGAAATCGCAGCTTTAATGGGTCTGCGGTACTTATCAACCGTCAGGTACAACATCTTTGTCGTTCACATGCCAATGTCCACTACATGGACAATGACAACATAACTGATAGGAGAGACCTATTTGCATGGGATGGCATTCACCTCACCCCGCATGGGACCAGTACGCTGGCAAGAAATATAAAGGATGCAACAGGACAGCCAAACCCCCGCACCACACCTAGACATGGCCACAGCCCCATTGGCAGCACCATAGGAACCACCGCAAATGGAATCAAACACCTAATCAGTGGAATTCCCCCAAGGAAAAGGGTAACTCTATCGAGAATGAATTGAAACTACTACGTGAGTGATTAAGCAAACTGGAAACTAAAATCTGCTAAATGTCAAACACTTATGAACACTAGTGTAATATGGAACTGATTAAACCAATAACAACCAAGTAAGTGTCAATAATACAGAAAGAAAAGCTGAAATGTAAGTACCTATGCTCCCTCTTATGGTAACAATCCGTTCCTTAATGATGAAAATGTCAGATCATTAAAGGAAAAAGCATTGTAAATTATGAAGTATAAAAGTAGTTTAGTGAAATTGGAAATACATATCGGACAGAGATATATTAATGAGTGTGTAGAAGCACAGACACGTCTCAAGGAACATAATCAAGAAAAACTATTACTTANTGAGTAATGTTATCCTTCCCCCCCCATCCCCCCCCCCCCCCCCCCACCCACACACACACACACATTGCAAATACACACGTCACTCTCGAAATCATGGTCTAGAATGAAGCATCATAACGACCTCTTTTACGCCTTATTTCCACATCCAACCAGAACTAAAACATGTTTGGATACAAGTCCCATGAAGTGGTAATATACTATGAAGTCTCCTAAGGGTCCTTATTTTTTAACCAATAAAGTCGCCTTCTATCATGAAGTAGTAACTCTTATCCCATGAAGTGGTAGTATACTATGAAGTATCTTAACAGACGTCGTTGCCTCTCTGAACTTGTACAAGCTGTGGACTAATTTACATGAGCTATTTGTAGCATGTCTATTTCTTTTTTAAATCAAGTTTGACAGCCCATGAAAATGTTATTAAGTTCTATATATTATATTAAATATTGAAATTGAAAAATGAGAAACCATTTATATTACTCTTAGAGACAGGCATGGTGAAAATTTGCAGTATTTGACAAGTACTTAACATCATAAATATGTAACACAGATTTATCAGTGTATCAGTCTTATATAAAACATATCAACAGGATGGATTTGTAACAAAAATCCATATTGGTCTTCTTCATTGTCCAGCATATATATTACCCTTAATGGATGGGAAAAGTGAAGCCATTTGGTGTTTTGGGAAAAGCATTAAAAACTGTTAGTAACAATTAGGAAAATTTCAGTTTGATGGTGTATTTCCCCTTTTTTCTCATTAATAAGAAAAATTGAAACAAGAAACCTAGAATAAAAATATATTTTTATTCAGTTATAAAATACTGTATCTTCATTGATCCAGTAACTGCTGCAGGCCTATCCCATGTACCAGCAATGCGATCATTTGAAAGAAAATTTGGTCACTTTGATAACACCCCCTCTTTATCAATTTCCAACTTGTCAGTTTCACTGCAAATCAATGACAGAACAATAAAAATATGTTGAATACCACACTGAAAATTAATAGTTAATATATTTCACACATTGTAATAAAAATATATTAATTAATTGAAAGCAGGTATCTTCTTTTCATTTACTTGCACCAGTCAAGGTTATGGCCTCTTTGCAACCCCACAAATGAAATTTGTGCAAAATTGTTGGTAAATAATAACTTTTGCTGACTCATCGCATCATAATTTTTAGGATGATGAGTCTTATTGAATATTTGATATATAATTTTTATCCCTAAGGCCATAACATTTAATACAGGCAACAATTTGCTACATTGTTATTATTGTTAAAACGATTAGGATAGAGGGGTTATATAATAAAAGCGGCCTTGTTTGGCCAAATCACGAACAATCAATATTCCTTGTTGCCTTCTTTCTTGCTATGAATGAGACTATAAAAGTTTGTGGTACACTGAGATGGAGGAGACATAAAGTTGAAATATATCTGTCCTAAATTTTAAAATGAATAACAAAATAAATATAAATAAATTTAAAAATATGTGATTTTTGGGGTTGGTGCCAATACAACAACGCATACTGAACTTTGTTCAAAATATAAAACAACAGATCAAGTATGTTATTGATATGTACAGTTTCTCACTCATTTAATATGGCACTTCCATAGCTCCATCTTTAGGCACACACATACACACACACACACCAAAATAGTTTTAAAAATAATAATCAAATAAATAAATAACAATAACAACAATAATAATAAATGCACATGATAACAATAACAGTAGTAATAAAATATAGATTGAACATAAGCATAACATTCGCTTGTTTTTTGTCAATTTTCCAAAAAATAAATAAATACATTAAGATTTGTCTATATCAAATCAATGTTAATTAAATGATTCTGATGTGCGGGGGGGAGGGGGGGGGGATGCAATTTATTTTGGACTTGCAAGTCAATATCACTCAATTCTTAAAATTCTCAGACAGTCGAAACTTCTACAAGTTTTTATACCAGACTACCCATTCTGTTGGGCATTAGGTAATTCCATGCTGTACATTATGTTACACAGTTACTATAACTACGTCTTGATAAATCTCGTGGACATCCGTTTGTGTAAACACTGCGTCTGCAAGATCAGCAACATTATGTGCGACCAGTTCACACTGACCCTTGTTTGCACCTGCAAAAGCATGCACCACGCTATGACACGTGGGATCCTCCATACAGAGGTTAAGGCACACGATCAGGTGACGCACTGACTTTGTCCCGAGAATCTTACTGTTGTCGCTAATGGCATAACCTGTGCCAAATCTGTGTGGCTTTTGGAAGGTTCTTCTTGTTACCTAGAAGTACGAGGGAAATCTTACACTGAAGAGTACATATGCATACTAAGTATGCTAAGTTTTTCAGTAATAATATTTTGTTACCATCAAATTCAATGCAAAACTGTTACTTTGCCTTTATTTCTAAGTTCATACAGTTAATTTATCTCAAAAATTTGATTAATGTTAAAACAATAATAAAATAAGTGAAGCAATGTATGGTATTGATATTGTAATAAATGCAACACAGTACATGAAATAACAGAAACATCTAAACTGAAACAAATTATCATGATCAATGGTTAAGTTACACATAATTTTTTATCACTTACAGTATATTTGAAACTGCACATAATTATTTTCCTTTTGTTTACATTGTAGTTTGCTCATATCAATTGCCAGTGACCAAAGTTTTTTCAGTTTGATTAAAAATAATGATAAAAAGACAATCTTTAACTTGTTCCAAATTTGCTTATACTTTTGCGGGTAAACATTTTGCTAATTGACCAAAATGAGATCATCTGGCTTGTACAGAGCCTTAGAATAAAATCTCGTAGCAAGCACACTCACAGAGTTCCTGACATTTAAGAGCACCCCAATGGAGAAAGCCCCCACAATCTCATCATGGTGAGCCTGCGCAACAAACCCATGGCCGCCCGCATGAGATAATGTAAAAAGACCTGCATGGGCATAAAAAGTAAGGGCAACCATTGTGGCATTTTGTGCTGAGGGGAAGGGAGTCGCTAGAGTGTCTGGGGGGAGGCTGTGCCCATTGATGCGCATCCCACTGGCTTGGCAAGGATCAACCAATACAGTTATTCTACTGGTGGATGGCAAACCTCTGCAAAACACCAAAAATTTATATTAATAATAATAATAATAATAATAATAATAATAACAATAATAAACTGTTATTCTATTAAACTCCAGCAAATACCATGTGTTCAATTTGTACATGTATAACTGCTTGTGGGTCTTGTAGATTTGCGAGAAATGGCCAGCTGAGCAATTACTTGTGAAGGGAAAATAAAATCATTAAATCATTGCTTTTTGAAATAAAAAGGACTGTAAAAAAATTCATCTTTAGTGCATGATATAAAGAAGTTCCCCAAACAAGGTTGCAATCAACCTTACTGTTACCTTTACTTATCATGTAGACATCACTGATGATCATAATTATATTAATTAGCATAGAATATAACCTTATATCTGGGAATGGCAAAGGTCTGACAAAACCCAATATTGACCTATGACATAATAAATGCCTTTTGACTAACTATAGTACACGAAACATATCATCGATCAGATGACAACAGCAGGGAATGACAACTAGTGATGTTGCAGCTTCTGCTATCTTGGTGGACACTGATCTTCATGCACATACATATTTTAATAAAAAGTTAACATAACCTTTCAGTAAGTATGTGCTGTTTTAAAGCTGTGGGCCAAAGTCAATAACTGTAAAATATATGTTACTTTGCACATGTGCTGTATAAATAACAGCTTCTAAGCATTAATACAAGGTACCGGTATCNGCCAGCGCTAACGCTGGTGGTACAATAATAATAACAACAATAATAAACTGTTATTCTATTAAACTCCAGCAAATACCATGTGTTCAATTTGTACATGTATAACTGCTTGTGAGTCTTGTTGATTTGCGAGAAATGGCCAGCTGAGCAATTACTTGTGAAGGGAAAATAAAATCATTAAATCATTGCTTTTTGAAATAAAAAGGACTGTAAATAAAATTCATCTTTAGTGCATGATATAAAAAAAGTTCCCCAAACAAGGTTGCAATCAACCTTGCTGTTACCTTTACTTATCATGTAGATATCACTGATGATCATAATTATATTAATTAGCATAGAATATAACCTTATATCTGGGAATGGCAAAGGTCTGACAAAACCCAATATTGACCTATGACATAATAAATGCCTTTTGACTAACTATAGTACACGAAACATATCATCGATCAGATGACAACAGCAGGAAATGACAACTAGTGATGTTGCAGCTTCTGCTATCTTGGTGGACACTGATGTTCATGCACATACAAATTTTAATAAAAAGTTGACATAACCTTTCAGTAAGTATGTGCTGTTTTAAAGCTGTGGGCCAAAGTCAATAACTGTAAAATATATGTTACTTTGCACATGTGCTGTATAAATAACAGCTTCTAAGCATAATACAAGGTATTNATATGTTACTTTGCACATGTGCTGTATAAATAACAGCTTCTAAGCATTAATACAAGGTACCGGTATCAAGTGCATGGTGCCCATTCCAATTTAAGGTTAATTATATCAGGTGCTGCAAGTGAATGGCTATATATAGTACATTTTGTAACTGCATCCATCTCTTAATTATTTGAATTAATAAGCACACATAAAGGAAGCAAACCTCAACCAGACAGCATATACTCACATTGAGAAATGATTTCCACCCTGGTCAAAAGGTGGCAGTAGAAGCATTGCAGGAGGAGCCACATCCCCACCACTTATAAATGCCACTGCCTGAACAGGTTTTGAAGCCGTAATGTAGAATTCACTTTCACCACTCACATGTTCCATGATGATTTTTTGCCCTCTTTTGACCAATTTCATTGTACGTCCATCTTTCATGGTCAGAACTGTGTGCTCCAAGCTGGACATGATCAAAACAAAATCCACTCGACCTGTTGGTACACTGGGCTGAAATGAGGCCAGAAGTTTCAAATTTCCATACCAAAATTTGAAAACTTGATGCATTAATGCCATACAGCAACATTAAGTCATGGTTAATTTACATTAAAATCATAGCTATATTACCTGTACTTTATTATTTTTTATAAGGTGCATAACATATTTAAGACCTTCATACACCAAAAAAAAAAATATATATATATATATATATATATATAATAAAATAATTTTAAAAAATCCAGGATATTTAAATAATTTTCATCATTTTCTCCACAATTGAAATTCACCAAACTCCATCTTCATTACAATAGTGACCCAAATATCAAAAACCCAAACTAGAGAGTAACATTCTGCCAACAGTTTTGGATAATGGGTACCTTATTGATCAAGGGAAAAGTTTTGAAACTTCCAAGATTCTTTTTTTTTTGCTAGTATATATTAATGTCTAACAGACACTGTATGCCATAAAGTGACCATGTCTCCCTCATTTACCTTGGCAAACACAGTCCCCCATGTTGCCACAGGCAGCATTGGTTCAACAGATGTGCCCGTCTGGTTCTGATGCTGCCCAGCAGTCACATTCAGCGCCATATTGCCACTTAATACAGCCACGGATTTATCGGCAGAAATATGGCTTCCTGTCAAGTCTCCATCACTCTGGAGTTGAAGTGTTTCATGCTGGTTCAGAGTCACAATGATCTTTTGTCCGTCCATGTAATCTTGACCATCTAAAGTGACCGCAGCTGTCAGAGTTATGACCAACAGAGTGTTGTCTGCAGTGGCAACAATGCCTGGAAAATAGAAAAGTTTATGTATAAATCAAAAAACTACATTACCTCACTTTGTTATAAGGCTATTTCAAGGGAAAATGGTCTCCGATTTCTAATTCAGTTCAATATCAATGTTTCGAAATTTCAACAAAGATATATTTACGTAGAGTCAAGTCAAAATAAAGAATCCACCTTCAATTTAGTGACATAAGATAAAAAGTTCTAAAATGCAAATAAAAACATAAATGCTAACTGATAATACTACAAAACACTATCCAACACAGAAATTCTTGGACAAGCTTTTTTTTTCTTTTACAAAGCCATTTAAAATGTAACTAGACAAGCCAAATCAATGAATAATAAATCCTGTATTAGTAAAACTAAAAAAAAAATGAATGGTACTGGACCCTGGCTAGCACAGTTGTAGAAACTATTGTCCATTCATATGGTCATGACCATGTATACTGACCAATCAGTGTCTTATCCCCAGGGCCTGGTGTCCAGCAGGTAGCGTAATGCTCCAGACCCAGGGAGGCTGTGGGCAGCACCTGAAACCAGTCTCCCTGACCATCCCCACTGCTTGATAGCACTCCTGAAATAATATGATATAATCCAGATCATGGCTATTTTTCATCATGATCTGTTTTTGTTATATTAACCTGTGTGTATAAAGTTGTAACTTCTTTATTTGTACTACAGTTAACTTCGGATTTTGTCAACAGTCATGCTGTTATAAATGTACATCTAATTTCCAAAGATTCAATTTCTTATTCATCTCTCTCTCTCTCTCTCTCTCTTATAGTCCAGTCACAATTCGTCACCTACCATGCACAGAGATCTGTGCTGAAGAGCTAATAAGCAACCCTGTGGAGCTCTTAGATGTTCCCGTCATCATCAGCTCTCTGGGAATTACCACATTTGTAGTGCCCGTTGATGACACCGTGACTGTCTCAGATATGGCAGGACTTGACCATCTGAAGAGAAAGCATCATCATTTATATAATATCTCATGTTAATCTAATTGCTGTTCAAAAGTAAAATCAACTTAAGAAATGATCTTTACAAAATCAAATTGTAGTTGGGATAATGAAAACATATGGTTAAAAAAATTTCACTTTTGATTGAACTTTATTTGGCATTTGGCATTACTATTACTAAGGAAGAAGAAAGGGAGGTAGGCAAAAAGGGAGAGAAAAAGTCAAGCTATAACAGAGCTAGCTAGAGAGAGAGAGTCAAAGAGATAACAAAATACCCTGGAGAGGTAACGGTAACAGAAGCCGACTCTGAAGGATCTGCACTGAAGAACAACTTCAGTGTGGCATTGGGTGACAACGTCTCTGGAAACATCACCACAAAGCTTGAACCAGCAGACGATCTGCCTTCTGTACAAGACTGTCCTTGGCAGGCAGCGACACCTGGTGCCTGGCAGTTTGATCGTCTGCAGAATTGACTGGCTCGGCCATCTGTCACATATCCTGCCTTACATGGCATACATTTTTGTTTTAGTTCATCTGTAACACCATCTGTAATCAAATTCATTACAAACATTGCATCAGAATAAAAATTCAGTGAAATAATTATTTAGTTTTTTTTCTTAGTATCCATGTTTGTAAGGACATTTCTTAAAGGTAAAATGTGAAAACTGACATTAATTTTAAGAGCTAGCTTCACAACTTTTGTAAACATTTAATAGGTACATGTAACTGAGTTGACAACAGGTTCAATTCCAGGATATTTGTTTGGAAGTCAACTTGTTCCCAAGTCCAACATAAAATTTACACAATATATTATTAAGATAAATGCAATTAAAAACAAACTTATAAAGTGAATTTTTTTTTCTCAACAGACTAAGGAACTACAGTGTGCCACTTTCCACATCAAATTCACAACTTCCACGCTGTATTGAACAATATTCATATCTTTAAAAGTTTATAATTAACTGGTGTCAACTTGTACATACAAACAGACCACTACATTATATATGCACCCAAGAACTTCTTATCTTGAAAACTGTCCACTTACTGTAAGGACACAGGACACAGGTCATCTGTCCAGTCTGGTTGGAGATGTGACCAGTCGGGCAGACCTTGCACTCGGTGCTTCCGCGGTCACTGGAGTAGGTCCCCAGGGGACAGGGGGTGCACCGGACTTTGCCATAGTAACCTGTTGGGGAATATGTGCCTGGGGGGCAAGCTGAAAAAGGGTGGGTGGGTGGGATTTAGCAGGAAGCATGATAGTTGGATAATGTTGTCTCATTGGGTTTATGGTAATTAACCATTCNTACAATGGACAATAGTGATGCAAAATTACCTGACAAATCTGAAGCTAGCAGTACATTTGTATCTGATGATGTTGAGGCTAGTCCTACTGTTGATAAACAACCAGTTCGCAGATATCCACAAAGGGAGCGCAAAGCACCTGAGAGACTAACTTACACTTGACTGAGAAATATTACTGTCATTAAAATTTTCTAGAGACATATTGTCTTACATGTAAGATGACCAAGGACTGTTAAAGGATTAATGAGAACTGTTGATCTGTTTACACTCTGAAGTGATTATTTAGAGTGCCTCTGAGTATTTGTAACATTTTAGTTTATTTAGTTTTGTCATTATATAAGTAAAAAAAAAAAAAAAAAAAAATGCACATTTAAAGTCATTGTGGTGCATATCTCAAGAGGGAGAGATGTAGTAAATGTGCTGTAGCTCAGTATTGTGTTAGAGAATATCAGTGTTGTATTTGTTGAGATCTCGGGAGAATACTGGAGACTTGAAAAATAAAGTATGGTGCTGGGAAATCAGACTTGGTGTCTTGTTGGTTTAAATCTAAGAACATCTTAAAGAACATCACACTATTCTACAAATAATTTTTTTCACTTTAAAATTCCATTTTTTGGCCAAAAATTATTACTCATTTTCAAAACAATTTTCATACCTCTTGATCCAATAAATTCATAATGATCCCAATTTGCATCTGCCACGAAAAACTTAGCTGGTTGACTGAAACGGTTTTGGTTTTTCAAGGTGCAGGTGCTGTCACTGCTACGGTAATCAAAGCCTCTACAATATGCATTGTTATAACACAGAGCCATGCACTCAGCTACTGTCTTAGTCAGGGTGGATAACGTTGACCACATTACGTAATGTCCAGGGATGTGCTGGAAAGAGTCTTTCAAATAATCCCCTGTGGTATGAAAAAGAAAAAAAATTGCTTAAATGAAAATTTCATTTTGAAAAAAAAAGGAAAATAAATAAATGATTCAAAATAATCAATACTAACTTACAATTAGCTAAAGTTAAGTGGTACTTCTTTCTATAGGATTATTATTTATGCAGACTTATGTAATTTACTCTTCTGTTTCATTGTCAAGTTGGACCAATGTACTTATTTACTTTCTTCCAACAGTTATCTTTTGCAGTTATCTTCCAATACAGTAAACAAGCATGTCTTAACATCCAAAATTATTAAGCCTCGAATCATTATAACAATCTTAGAAAAGTATATATAATTTGATTAAAAACACATTACCTCTACCAGATGACTGTACTTGCCTCTAAATCCTTTGAAAACAAAGTTATTATATGATGGCCAGGTTCCAGTCATGAAATCAGAGGAGGATCCCACTGTAAATCTGGTGTCATAACTAAGGTCACACACATAATCAGAACCTGTAAAGAAAACCAACAAATGAAACATGAGCTGAGTGAAAGAAATCATATTATATACTATAACAGCTAATTAATCCAACAATTGAGAAATTGTTTATTACAGGAAGACTATTTAATGTTTTATTTAATGAACTTCAATGTTTCTTCTATTTGTCTACAGAATATTGATCAATACTGAAACAAACAGTAAGCATTCGGCAATGTGATTTTTGTACTTTTAATACCCTTTTGTATTTACACTATGAATGTTACACTTCATTCTTTTGGTTGTAATAAATACAAATAAACATATAAATAAATAAATAATAATAAAATGCGTCATACTCACTTCCTGAGTCAATATTTCTTTGATCAATGGTTTTGCAATTACTGTTATCATGACAAAGTTGTAAACAGTCATTAATCGTTGTCCCATAATTTAAAACATTGTTGTATCCTGCCAGGGCTCCATACTCTATCATATTGAAATGCTCCATCCAAGTACCTGCAAAATGAACATTATAAGTGGTATTCTGACGTACATTCATCTTTGTAGACTATTGATAATGATCGTAAGTTGTAAGATTTCACTTTCTACACAAAATTGAAGCTATAACTGAAGAACCTGATGTGACCAAAAGCATTTTGATAAGTTAACTTTTAATTCTGTGCACAAAATGAAAAGTTTAACTAATTCATATAATCAACACTAGGTGGTGTTAAACATTCCAAGACAAAAGGAGGTGGTCAGTTCACTTTTTTCATTTTCCAATAAAGAATGATGAATTTACAGAATATATCGACTTCTTTTTTATTTTTCATTCCCAATGGAATTGTTTTCATAGTCAGCAAATATCATGCTAATATATGACATATAGTTGGCTGTTGCTGCCTTAGCCTATACTTACAAGTCACTGCCCTGGTACAGAAGCAGAAGACATTGTAGGGATGTAGCTAAGGTGTATACAAAGTGTGCACAAAAGAGTTGTATGCTTCACAAGCCATTATAACTTACATATGTGTAAGTTGACACATATATATATATATATATATATATATATATATATATATATATATATATATATATATATATAGGTGCTGAAATGCGCTCTTTTCGTTCCCCTACAAAAATCAGTCAAACTGAAAATAGCACATAACAATAACAATATTGGTTGCATTTGACAATCTGAATTTATTTAGCAGCGTCATTGTTATGCCTCACATTATTCCTAAGTTCAGCAAATTTCGTGGGTTCAGTTCTTTTTCATCGAAGATTAAAGTCATTATACTGATCAAGATCGAACTCCTCGGAAACAATTTTTTCCAAGTCGTCAAACGCTCCTTTAATCCCCTTCTCAGTCCTGATCATGTATGTTGAAATGGGCAGCGTTGAATTCATCCGAGTTTAGATAGCCAGCTCTAAAGCATAAAAAACAAACTATATTTTAATATGATATANATATAATATATAGCTGGTCGTAAGTGATGACCTACCTATCATATGTAAATAAGTTATTAAATATAATATATAGCTGGTCGTAAGTGATGACCTTACCTATCATTCCGCAGTAAGCATAATTGCCTGTTTCAGTAACTTCATTGCAGCTCAACTGTGGATCTGAAAGAAAAAAATTCAATTTAAGAACCTAAGTTTAAACATTAAGTTAAAACAAGATACAAAGATTGCCTAACCAATCAATCAATCAACAAATTATCAAGATTGCCCAACCAATCAATCAATCAACAAATTATCAATACCATTCTTACTGCCAAGAACAGCAAATTCTGCTACTACTTATTGTCAAACAGCATTTTTATTCTTCTTGCCAATCAAAAATCATTCAGAAGAGCAAACCATTGCTGTTTCACTTATGCTATTTTTGTTCCTAATACAAGTATTAGTGACACAGGTACATTTTTTTCTCTTGTAACAAGAAAAAAACATAGGAGTTTTGGTACTATTTTTGTTCCAAAGTAAGTGAATACTATCTCTGAAACATTGGTAAATAGAAATCCTTGGAATTGTGAACTAAAGGCTATTAGAAAACATCTTTTCCTTTTCTCAACAGCTTGAGACATTAACAGGTATCCTATAACTAATAATTTGGGGTTGCTGAAAAAAAGCTAACTGATTGGCATATACTCACCTCCATTGTCAATAAATTCATAGTAGTCATAATTGTAATACATATTAAAACTTGACGGCATTGAAATTCTGGTTTCTGAGTTAAGCCAACATCCAGCACTAGACACATAGTCATAGTCCACAGACTTGCAGCTGAAAATGTCAAGAAAACACATATGTAGTAATATTTCCTAGGACCTCAAAAAAGCTCAAGTAAAAAGCAGGGATGAGACAGCCATTAAGTGAAAAAGTCAGTAAACATGGGATCCAGGGGGCCACCCAGGCCAGTAATATTTTTTTGATCCCAAAAAATCTTACTCCTGAAAGAGTTGTGCCATCTACTTACACAAAAACACAGACTTTACACTGTAGGAAGATTTGGATGTAATAACATTAATCTGGTATTCATAACTGGTTTTGAATTTTCCAGACTTTAACACTTAAAGTCAGAAATTCAATTGCATTCTCATTCCATCTTCTTGAAAATATCTACTTGCACTCACTCTGGGTTTTCCAGACAGAGAAGCAGGCAGGTGTCCACCGTCACTGCCATGGCAGAAGACAAAACATTGTAGCCAGCTACAGCATAACCTTCTATGTGATGGAAGTAATTACGCACGAGACTAGGGTGATCTAGTTGAAATAGAAAAGACAAGAGACAACTGAAGACTGTGTAGAAAACACATGCTGATATTAAAGAGCTTTTGTGGTGTTTAATGGACCCTCTTGTACATTTAAAATTATAAGCAAATATGTGAAGCTCATGAGTAAATGTGGCCAGGGTTTTTTCAAACATAATTGTGAAACAATAATCAATGAAATCAAATAATTACAAGATGTTAATCCCAATCTTAATCAAGCACATCTGTTCTCATAAGGACCAGTTTCCCAACTAAAACATGGCTAATTCAACAAAGCTTTTCCATGTTACAAATAACATCTGAATGCAATTAATTTATGCAAGACTTTAATCTAACTAAGAATATTTGTTTGACTAGTTTTTCATTTTGAATGTTTATGCTTAAAATCATAAGTCATCTGAATGAAAAATCTAAAATACCAACTTGACATATTTCATATTATTGAAAAGCAATGAAAAAATATACTAAGAAGCTAGTATAACTACCTTCTAGGGCAGCGTTGTATCTCTCATAGAGGTCATAGGAACCCTGGGTCTGTATAGAAGAGGGGGCAGTACGATGGTTTTCTTTACTCAAAATACATGCCCCAGTGGAGGGATTCCAATTCAGGGAACGGCAACCCACCTGGGAAAATGAGAGATGGAGAAAATAATAAATAATAATATTTTGTTTTGTATGAGACAGTGATGGATACTGAATGTGTTGCACAGAGATGGATCTATTTAAATTCAGCTCTGAGCATACATTAATTGTAAATAGATATTTTAAGTTACCAAAGCAACACTAGTTTTAGGAAGACTTTTTTAGGAAAAAACTCTCATATCAAATGCACATGTCCAATTTAAAAAAAAATGCCAGACCAAAGAAAGTATTTCTGAGAACTTTACTTTCCACACTCACCTGGTTTTCACAGTGTTGTAAGCATTCTGTTAGGGTGGTGCTTCCTTTGCTCCAGTCATCATGGCCACTTGTGTAGGCGCCTTGCCAGCGGATGTACTTATCTGCTATATTACCTGGATAGACAGGTGAGAATATTCAGATTTTTGTCATTTACTGTGACAGACAATATAAGGGCAACTGTCATTAATAAATTGATGCTCTCTCTCGCTGTGTGTGTATGTGTGTGTGTGTGTGTGTGTGTGTGTGTGTGTGTGTGTGTGTGGTACTTCTAAAACACCAAAGTTACTGTGACACGGCATATTTCACAAATTGTTGCAAGGTTAATTAATCCCATTTAGCAACATGTTGATCTGCAAAGCATATACAAGGCATGACTTTGGTGCAAAAAATAGGAAAGTTGATCGAAATCTCAAAATATATGCAAAAAAAAAAATTTCACTAAAAACAAGCTATTTCAGTAATAATAATACAATAATTCAACATACTGCAGAAGTTTGAAACTTTGCAGTGAAGAAAATTCAACTCCAAAATCTACGATTTAAATTGCATATCAAAATCCACCTACCTCCAGTGCGTGGTGAGAACAAGAAACGGCAGCACTGGCCAGTGACCCAGTCGCTGGTGACAGACGTATCGCACGAACACGTGTTATTGCCACTCATCCACCATGGCCCACAATAACCACAGGCACATTGAGTCATGGTAGGATACTCATCTGAAGGAAAAAGCAAAAAGGGAAAATGTTTTTCTAATACCACTTGTCAAGTATACCAGTACTTTGAGAATGTTGGATGTTGCAAAAGATGAGTATTTAACCACACATAACAAATAAATAATATACACATTCCAAAAAGTACAAAAATTTTAGGAAAAAGTTTTTTCAAAAACTTTCCATTGGTTGGTTTTTTAATCTGCATCTTCCACAACCCAGATAATTGGAGTGACCTGAACTGACAGCATGCAGATATTATCAATGTTGTAATGCACTGAACAGCTTTTTTATGCTCTACAACAATACTTTTGGCCTATGTATAAAGTTCAAAAGCCCTGCATAGATACAATGTATATATATGCTTTCCATAAGACATTTAAGAGACAAATGTGTCAATGAAGTTTACCAGCAGGACATGTGACTCCAGTATATGGGTCGCCATCTGGTAGATCTTTACACTGCATAAATGTTCTATAGTCTGGGCCTGGAACAAAGCAGAATTTCATATTAAAAGGTCTGTAATATTTTATCTACTAAGTCCACTCGTGGATTAAATTTTGCTACGATGCTTTTTGTTCAAGAAGTCTTTCTTCTTTCATTTCACAGAATATCTACCATCCAGATATGTAGCACCCTCAGTGTCAGAGTCTGGCTTTGTACCATCATCTGCTGAGCAAAAAATCTTATCATTTACAGACTCCAAAACACAGGGTGTCTAGATATGTCCTCTAATGTTACTCAAAACATAAAAAAA